GGTAGGTTTCTCTCACAGAAGTCTTGGGCTCCTGCTCAAATGGTTTATAGTTTTATATTAGTCCTCCCTACCCCATGGCAGACTCCAAGTTTAGAGGTCAATGGCTGAAGAAAGGACAAGCTGAGCTATTAACTTTCACAAAACTTGGACAGTTTTGTGTATCTCTAACACTAGTAACATGTATCAAGAATTTACTCAACTGTGATTCTTCCCTTCAAACACCACCCCCTCCTTCATATTTGATAACAAAACTAGTAAGAAGAGAGATTTTTGTCTTTAAATGCAGTTTCTTTAAATGTTTATTTATTTTTTAGACAAAGAGAGTGTGACCAGGAAGGGACAGAGAAAGGGGGGACAGAGGATCCAAATCAGGCTCTGCGCTGACAGTAGAAAGCCCAATGCAGGCCTCGAAGTTACGAACCAAACTGTGAGATCATGACCTGAGCTGAAGTCAGATGCTTAACCGACTGAGCCACCCAGGCACCCCTCTTTAAATGTAGTTTTAAAAATGCTACTTCAACACACACTGAGTACCAGAACAGAAGAGAGGCCATGCACTTGTTTGGGATTTTCTTGTGACAACTTGCTGCTGCTCAAAAAAGACACTGAATTTCCCCAAAACCAATGCGAGAGGAAACTCCCCCAGACATTTTGTAGTTGTCCCATTTCTCTTTCTGCCTCTCTTTTTGAAAGGGGCTGAAAATGTACCTAGTGAAGCTGACCTACTCTCCACGCAGGGACAGCTTTCTTTTTTTTTTTCTTTTAATGTTTATTTATTTTTGAGAGAACAGTCGTACAAAATATAGGGCAGGGGGCAGAGAGGGAGAACCTAGAGATCTAGGAGAAACAGGCTCCAGGCTCTGAGCTGTCTGCATAGAGCCCAGCGTGGGGCTTGAACTCAAGAACTGTGAGCTCATGACCTGAGCCGAAGTCAGACACTTAACTGGCTGAGCCACCCAGGCACCCAGGGCAGCTTTCTTTGAGAATATACTTATAAGAAGCCTGAGCAGAGACAGCAGAAGTGCTGACATTTCACCTCTTATGGAGGTAACAGAGGATTAGCTTCTTGGGCAACACCCATATCACGACTCTTTAAATGAGTCTTTGGAGAAGACTCAGGGTAATTTTCAGTGTCATCTGAAGCTGAGCAGATGGTAACATATGTGCCAGCACCCTGAAGGCTTAAATAAGGACGGAGGGTCTCACAGGTGATTCCAGTAAAGGAATAGATGTGGGATCCATCAACCATGTTGTAAAAGGACACATCCTTATCCTCCAAGTCCAGGAAAACTCCTATCCTTTGAGGATGCTGTCTCAGTGACAGAGACTCTAGGTGGGTGAAGAGAACTCCTTTGTTATATGCAATCACCCAGAAATTCTTCTCTGGACTTTCTACAAACCACTCATCTCTTTCTGCTGTATCTGAGCAAACACCCACAGCCCATCTAGGTTCAAGTCCAACTTCTGTGCCTATATTGACTTCTATCTCCCAGTAATGTCTCCCTGTGGTAAAGCAATTCTGGCCCAGAACACTGAAGATGGTTTCAGATTCCCCTTGTCCTTGGCGTACTGAAGCATCACAATTCTGAGGAGCATTTCCCATTAAAGAAACTTGTTTTCTATTCTCAGATAGGATGAGGTTGTGATGAGCTGTGTCTGGATCCAGAGTAACAGCAACTGCAAATGTGGGGGGTGGGGGGGGGAATAGGTCATTCCACAGTGGAAAGTGGTTGTCCTTAGGAAAGATGCTGTCACTTTATGCTTGCTCTGAGTAATTAGGCCCTGTCATATTCCAGTCACAGTGTATCTACTTTCATTTAAGCTTCTTTGGTATCATTTTCATTTGGAATCATTTATTATGTAATAATTAAGTCACCCACTTCTCATGCACTCTTATTAGATTTCTAATGGCTGAAATCTTAGGCTCTGTAGTCATAAAGATCTGAATTTTGATAATCACTCTGTCTTTAGTAAGTGTGATCTTGAAATTACTTTGTTTCTCTCAGCTTCACTTTACCCTCATAATCATGGATACAATTATGATACCTCAGCATAGGACTGTTGTGAGAAATAAACAAGATAATGTGTAGAGAACTCAAAACTAGGTCTTGCCCATGATGAACACTTGGTAAATTTTTTAGCTTCCAATATTTATAGTAACACTAATACCAGTAGTAATAGCAGACTCCAGTACTGATACCAGCAATAATTAATCTGTTCTTCTGAAATCAAACATCGTCAATAGTCAGAATTTTTCTCATAAGAATTTGTATGTGGGAATACTAGAATGTGCTTTAATTTGGGGAGGATTGAATTAACTAGGAAACATTTGTGGATGCAGGGATATTCAGAGTAAAGCAACATGTACTAGAAACTGATAATCAACTCATAATTCTGGAAAGACTCTAAGATAGTTTTCCACTTACACTGAGATACAATGAGCTAGTCCCTGTCTCAGGCTGATGTAATAGACTTCCTTCTTACTGAACTGCTCTTGCAGTGTTATTCACATGAATAAATCCACCGTATCACTAAGTCCCAGATTGAGAAGTCAATTCCTCAGGGAAATTCCTTTAATCCACCATATTTTTCTCATGGAAATCTCTTGTTCTTTCATAACCTTCATTACAACTTGTACATGTATTTTTCCATGAAATCAGAGATCAGATATCCTTTATTTATTTGACCCTGAATAAACAGTTCTATAAATTAATTGTAAATGAATGAATGATATCAGAAAAGTAAGAAATCTGTTCACATTTCAGCATGAGATTGAGACTGAACTGAAAGCCATGAAATGAAAAACCAACCAGGTTTTATTGAGGGTTTATATAAATGTAAGAGTTTCTAATTTCTGACAGAAGAGATTGTGCGGGTCAAAATAATAATGTCACTCACCTGCTTCAAACTGTTCTTTTCTCCAGTCTAAAACGAAAAAAAAATTCATATAAGAAAATACATCAAGAACATGTCTTCTCACCTGGGTGACTCAGTTGGCAAAGCGTGGGACTTTGGCTCAGTTCATGATCTCACAGCTCGTGAGTTCGAGCCCCGCGTCAGGCTCCGTGCTGACAGCTCAGAGCCTGGAGTCTGCTTCCAATTCTGTATTTCTCTCTTGCTCTGCCTCTCCCCTGCTTATGCGCTCTCTCTCTCTCTCTCTCTCTCTCTCTCTCACAAATAAAACATTAAAAAGTTTTTGAAAAAAAAGAACATGTCTTCTCAACTAGGAGAGAGAATCCCCTGTATTTTTTTGAAGTCCCACATTCAAAATCAATTTTCCAGAATATAGCATGTCTTTGAAAAATGCCCTAGAATTGCCTCATGAAATCCTGGGGTGCCTGAAGTCCCAAGACATCTGTTACTCACCAGCATATAACTTTGCTTTTCTCCAGTCTGAAATAAAACAAAGGAATTAGATTCTCTCATCCTTAGGACCTTCACTCCAGACTATTAAATTGTTACAACCACATGAGATATGAAGATTTATAATAGTGCTATATTTCTGTATTCATCACCTCAATGACAGCTCTGGGGTATTTGTCTCCTTCAGTCTCCTGTTCTATTTCTCACATTTTCCACATTCCACCAACATATCTGTGATAGAATAGGAGGTTCTGATTCTTTTGGGAGAAGGATAAGATAAACTTGAATTGTGAGAGTGTATTGTAAAGCCTAAAACTTCATGTGCTGCCTTGACATCTTTGGACCTCACAGGGCTCTAAACGCCATAAGCTCCCCTTCTCTCACCAGACATGCCTCCACTCAGCAGGAAAATCTCCACATTCAACTAATTTCCCTACCAGTCAAGCCAGCTGAACCCCACCTGGTCCTCAACCTAATGGCTTTCATCTTCCTATCAGCCTGAAAAGTTACTCAGACAAGCCAATCATATACTTCCAAGGAGACTAGTAGAATTTCATCTTATTATTACTAAAAAGCCTGCTTCCCTCAGCCCCTGCTGGTTCACTCTGTTCCCAAGTGAAAACCCATGTGGTCTGCATGACTGTGGTGTCCTCCTCCCCCAGGATAGGAGTATGGGTGATTAATAAACTGCTTTCAAGCTCGTCCAGTGTTGGATGTCATGTGTCTAACCATCTTATCCTAATTAGGGTGGGGGATCCCTTCCTCACTAGCAAGGTGAATAGGGTATGATAAAAACAGAGGGATGGTCCAACCACAACACTGATATAACTTACCTTGTTGATATAATTGCTTTCTTCTCCCTGAAAAGGAATAACAACCTGTGAGATGCAAAGTACCAGCATGGAGTAAGGACTCTATTTCTTGTACTAGAGCAAAGAAAAATGGAAAACTTACCAAGATCTTTCTCAAGTAATTCTAAAAAGGAAAGAAAATAACAAAACATTTTATGGAAAAAAAGTCCAGACTACATTTCCTAAGCTCAGGTCCTGAACACTACTTCCATATACCTAGATCAAGAAATTCACCTTAATTGAGAATTACTGTGACCATTTTTTTTTCTAACTCCATGTTTATAGCAGTGAGTTTTCTCTCTCCATTGGAGAGAAGATCCTAGGCT